TGCAAAGCGAACACAGTCGCAGGGCTGCAATCGACACAACATGAACCCGTCGTTCAATACGCTCGCCTTCTCTTCACCCGTACCACATAGACGAAAGTGTACGCGCCGACGAGGTACACGAAACAGATGGACTTTGGAAAGGCGCCAACAGCCTGCACCACGAGCTCCGCGTACTCCTTCACCAGCAGAATCACGGCGATGACAATGCTCACGATGAAGAAGGCCCTGTTGTTGTCGTGACAAAACACAATGGATGCACGCCCAACACATGATGAGACGAGGCGCATTTCCAGCGGTGCTTGCGCTGAAACCACCCGCACGCACACAAGCAGACAAGTAAACGCACAAGCAGCACGCACCTATCGGGCAGAGCATCGCGATAGTCGATGTTTGGCAAGTCGTCTGGGAACAGGCCACCCATCCTGGCAAGTTGTTGTTGGTTGGTTGGTTGGTTGTTGGCGAGTTGTTGTGCACGCCCACCGGACGCAGATTATTTGTGGAAATTATCCACAAATCGTCCCAACTTCAGGACTGGCCAAGCACTCATCGCTCGTGGTGATGACGATGGCGGAGGAGCAGGAGCAGGAGCAGTCGTCTGACCCGGGCGCCAAGACGCTTGGCAACTTTCCCTTGTAGGTCAGCACATGTCCGTGTGTGTGGTATGTGGTATGTGTGCGTGTGTGTGTGTGTGTGCGTGTGTGTGTGTGTGTGTGTGTGTGTGTGTGTGTGTGTGTGTGTGTGTGTGTGTGTGTGTGTGTGTGTGTGTGTGTGTGTGTGTGTGTAACGAGGCTTCACACCCACGCACACACACCCACACGCACCGCTCACACACACCCCGCTCACACTCAAATGCCACGTGCCGCTTTTGTTCCGTCAGCTACTATCAGTTCAACCCAGTGGATGAGCGACTGAACAAGCTCGATTCGGCGCATGTGGTCTCAACCATCCTGAGCGTGGACAATGGCGTGAAGGACGATGTGCCATTCTGCCTCCTGGACATCGGCTGCAACACCGGGGTTGGTGTGTGCTGCGCCACGCGTTGCATTCGATTCAAGGGCTTGTCCGCAAACATACCTGCACACCCACACCCACACTCGCACTCACTCACTCACTCACTCACTCACACTCGCACACATGTGTGTGTCTTGGAAACCATGCCCGACTCACTCACACACATGCTGTGTCTTGCGGTTTTCATTTGACAGGAGCTGACGGTTGAACTGCAGCGCTTACTGGCGTCACAAACAAAGGTGCGATCACCACCAACCATGCTGTACATGCATCGTGTCATCGAGCGGAAGCAAAGCAGCTAGTGTGGTCTCGTACGTGTATTCTTTCCGCGCTCCTGCACTCAACTCCCACTTTTGCTTGTATGCCACGTGTGATCTCATGTTCCCTTGTGTTCCTCTCTTACCAACAGCGACAAGTTCACTGCTTCGGGTGTGATGTGGATCCTCGGCTGGTGGAGACAGCGCGTGCCAGCTTCCTTTCGGGGAACAGTGCGAGGATACAGCAGCAAGGCGGGAAAGTGGAAGCCGACGCGCCACGCAGCTTGGAGTTTGGCGTGCTGGATGTAAGCGAGCACGACGCGCTTGCTGTCGAAGCTGAAAGGTGCGTTGAGACGTGTTGCTGGGGGGGAGGTGATGGTGATGTTTGAGGCATTGCAGCTGCAGATAAACGTCGGCGACAATAATGCTGAACTTACACTGTGATAGTGATCAAGTTGGCGCGCTTTATTTCTCTCGCTGTCTCTTCCACCTCAGTGTCACTTTGCCCCGCTTCACTCCACCTCAGTCCACTGCTCGCTCATCCCCATAATGACGTGCTCAGGTTTCTGCGCGCGCGTGGGCGGGATCGGTTTTCGCTTGTGTGTCTGTTCTCCGTCACAATGTGGATTCACGTCAACGTCGGCGATGACAAGTTCATGCGCACCCTCTCAACGCTGTGCAACCTCACAGGTGTGTGTGTGTGTGTGTGTGTGTGTGTGGGTGTGTGTGTGGGTGTGTGTGTGGGTGTGGGTGTGTATGGAACTACGCATGTACAAGTGGAAGAGCATGTGTTTGTGTCCATATGCACACATGTGCGTGCTTACATGCTGCTTGCCTCATGCATGTGTGTGATCGGGCCAGATGCCTTGCTTGTAGAGCCTCAGCGGAGCCCAAGTTACAAGACGTGCCGAAGGTGAGCGACAGGCGCATTGGCTTTGCGTTGTGGCACTCGTGCTCGACGTTTGCTCAACCCGCACCTACGTACACACGCACACACTCACGCGCTCTCTCTGTCTGTCTCTGTGTCTCTCACACTCACACGCTCTCTCTGTCTGTCTCTCTGTCTCACTCACTCACTCATCACTCACTCCATCACTCACTCACACCACCACCATCATCACCACCACCACAAGACGGCTGCGTCGCGGCAAAGGAGAGCAGCCCCCGTATATCGACCGGCTGGCACTGCGTGGTGCAAAGCTGTTTCCCGCCATCAAATTGCAGATTGAGGGCGCTGGGTTTGCGCTGGTGGCGGAGCTGGGCACGACAACGTGGAAGCGCCCCCTCTGGCTCTTCGTTCGCCGCGGCAACCCAGCATGCAGTGGTGGTGTTGATGTTGATGGTGGTGGTGTTGGTGCTGATGGTGATGGTGATGGTGTTGGTATTGAGGAGGGTCACGTGCAGATAGCAGCTAGCGATGATGGCGGTGAGAATGAGCTGAAGAAGACGAAGACGGCAGCTAGGGACGATAAGGGCGACGATAGATAGTCAAAAAATATGCGTGTGTGTGTGTGTGTGCGTGTGTGTGTGTGTGTGTGTGTGTGTGTGTGCGTGTGTGCGTGTGTGCGTGTGTGCGTTTCTGTCTTGTCCGTGTCCGGAAGACTGGTTGGTTCCATGGGAGAAGGTGGCCAAAGTCCCCGTTCGGGAAGGTTGGAGTGAATGGAGCAAGTCATGTGTCACATGTGTCACAGCAGGCTAAATATAGTCGTGTCAATTGCAGTTGTGGGTCAACCAAGAACCATGTCTGTCAACAACCCATGCGTCATGTCACTGAACGCGTGTGTGATGTGATGTGAGTGTGGTGCTTGGAGTGGTGCGAGAGCAGTGACCATGTTCATTTTTCACATCTCCGTCAGGTGTGCCTGCAAGCAAGAGCACCCGAGCAAAGGACCAGCACCACCAAATTCGTCATCATTTGCCGTCATCAAACACGAAATTGTTGCGAAATTGCGGCTGCACGTGTGTTTGTTTGTGTTCGTGAGTGTGTGTGTGCACACTTTCGCGTCACATGTTACGTTGACCTGTTGCCTGCTCCAGACACACACGCGCTCCGCTTCTCGACCCCCTGCACGACTTGCACGCGGGTGCATGCTGCATCCCTGACCTCCACGCCTTCGCGCCTTCGCGCTTCTGCATCGCCCACGTAACTCAGTGTAAGGCAGAGAGCGAGAGACTCGCACGCTTACACGTGAGGTGACGGGAGACTGAGCAACACCACGGCTGAGTGGCCAGCGCAACGGCGGCGACAGTCGCACCAAGCAGCAGACAAAGTTCATTTCTATTCACATCACCAGCAGCTTGCACCTGTGGAGATGGCTGATGTGGACGAGAGGACAGACAGCTACCGCAAGGCAGTTGGACGGTCCAACAACAACAGCAACAGCAGCAACAGCCACAACAACAGCAGCAACAGCGACAGCAACAGCGACAGCAACGCTCAGGTTGCAGAGCAGCAGCAACGCTCAGGAAGCCATCGCAATGGCGATGCAGATGGCCCTGCAACCACCACCTCCACCACCGACAAGGGTGCTGGCATCGATGGGAAAGAAGAGGCAGCAGCGGAGCCATCGTTCAAAGAGCACGCGCCCAAGGACGAGACGGCGCCCAGGTACACGCGCAGCCCCATCGACAAGCCGCTGACCACCCCGCTGCGCTGGTTCATGTACATCACGTTCTCCTACCTCAACCCACTGTGCCGTCTCGGCGCCAAGCGCCAGCTCAACTCCGAGGACCTGTTTCCCATCCCATCTGCGGAGGAGGCGCGGCAGCTGGCCGACCGCGTGGAGCGGGAGTGGGAGAAGGAGCGGCACAAGAAGAACGGCTCGCTCGTCAAGGCGTACATGCGCACCTTCTGGGGCGTGTGGTGCTTCACGTCTCTCCTGCTCTTCATCGAGACGCTTTTCCAGATCATGGAGCCCGTGTTCCTGGGTCAAATTGTGCGCAACCTGCAGAACGACGGCGACAGCCGCGACGCCTACAAGTGGGCCGGCGCCCTCATCTCAACCGTGTTTGCGTAAGTGCCACCTTGCAGCTATGTGCCTGCGTGCGTGTGTGGGCATGTGTGTGTGTGTGCGTGTGTGTGTGTGTGTGTGTGTGTGTGTGTGTGTGTGTGTGTGTGTGTGTGTGTGGACTGTCTTGTGTGCATCTTGTATGTCACACATCACTCACCTGCAGTGCCACACAACCACGCGCACACAACCATACACAACCACGCATAACCACACACAGGCATTTGGCGCTGCATCATGTTGCGTTTATGTTTTCGTGGCGGTGCGGATATCAGCTCATGGCTGGCACCATCGGCATCATCTATCGCAAGGCATTGCGCATCAACAAGCAAGTGTTTGTGTGTGTGTGTGTGTGTGTGTGTGTGTGTGTGTGTGTGTGTGTGTGTGTGTGTGTGTGTGTGTGTGTGGTGGTGGTGGTGGTGGGTGGTGGTGGTGGGTGACTGTGAGTAAGAGGGTAAAACGAATAATAGTAATCTACTATCTCCTGGAAGTTACTTCACAGAAGACGACCACGCCTTGCCGCTAATAACAGTGGTATAAATGTTATAGGACAAGAATATCGGGAGCTCTACGCTGAGGTACATGTGCCCCGGTGGCGGGCGGGAGCCCTTCCAGAGTTAAACGAGATACGCACAGGGGTGGCTAAAAATGTCACCAACTCTCTATAACTGATATACCCTACGAGGTCCTATGAAAGAAGGGATGGCGTACGCCCCACACCGAA